ATTTATTTTTAATTTTTTTCGTCGCGCTGCTGATGACGTCAGGTACGCGCTTTCGTTGAGCGCGCTTTTGTCTACTGCGGTTTTGACGGGTCACGGGTTTATAAACTGCTGTTTCATTGTCTATTTCTCTAACTAGTACCATCATTTTTCTGGAGTAGTTTTTTTGACTTATTTCCTCCAGTTTCATCTTAGTGTGCCAGGTATCTGCTGCCACCTTGACTGCATAACTTTAGACATGAAGAAGAGCAAACAGTTTAGTGAATGGTCACTGAGTGAATAGTCACTAAGTGACAACTACCCTACTGCTCATACAGGAATATGAGGAATTTAAAATAAAGTCAAGAGAATAACTGATTGCAGATGGATTTGGTTTTCATTTGTTTTCATAAGCACAATTAAGAGAAGATGTAATACAGATAAGAATAACTGAAATTATAAAAATAAGATGGAATTTGAAAATGAGTTACGTTACAGATGATGAACATGTGATTGCTAAAATGTATAAACTTTTGCTGAGATTTGAAATGGAAGAAAAGAAAGTTAAAGAGTACATGATGAAATGGGCTAAGAATTTTGGTCATACAGATAGAGCAAGAGAAGAGGAGTTATTTTAAAGGCTAAAGTTCACACTCTGCTACAGTTTAAAAGATAACTTGTACTAAATAATGTACCATTGGTATATGACACTTGGGAAATTATCTAAGAAATATAAATATATTTTAATCAGTATTACAAATGTGGAAAACATTTTATCAAGCAGGGTGAATTTGTGAGAGAATATCAGAACCAGAGTAAGATGCACAATTGGCCTTTCTGATGGCTTTCCTGGGAAAGTTAGCATGCCCCAAAGCGTTATCACCATTGCTGTTCATTCTCGTCATGGATACCATCATGCAAGATCTGCATTATAGTGTCCCCTGGGCCTTGCTCTATGCTGACAATGTTTTGCTCACAGCTATCCACCAGGGAAGAACTGCATGCTTGGGTCTAGATGTGGAATGACAGTCTTAGCCGATTTGGTTTGTGACTTAAGATCAAGAAACCTGATTATCTAGAGATCAGCCTGAGCACCTCACTGTCAAGATCAACGGCAAAGTGCTAATGAAAGCAAACTCCTTCCGTTACTTAGGATTCCATCTGCAAAATGACGGTGGCATTAATAGGAAAGTGCGCATGAGGATGAATGTAATGTTTGGTAATAGGTGCCTGTCAAATTACTTAAAATAGAAACTGTATAGAATGATGGTTGCCCAATAGCACCGTATGGTGCTAAGCGCAAACCAACTACCTAAAGTACTGAATGTCTTTTGCATACCATGGAAATGCAAGTGTTGTATTGGCATCATTAGGCATCTCCCTTCTCAACCACATCAGCACCAATACAGTCCAGCAGCATATGGGTGTTGCACCAATAACAGAAAATCTGGGAAAACCACCTACAGTGATTGTGACATGCCCTATCAGCAGCACCTCACACCATGCATGATGTTTCCATGCGTCCTTTTCGGCACTCAGTGCTGAAAAGGTTCACCACCACTGTTATAGATGCTTGAGTTCCTTAAGACAATGTTGACCTTTTAACCTTGAGAGAATGGCTGATCTTTCAAGTCCTTCCTTCCCAAGTGGGACTAGATGCAAATAGCTTCTTATTTTGTGGAATAGCCTGAAAAATCCTGAGCAACAGAGGTGGGGGAAGCCCATTATGCAATCATCCTTATGTATAGAGGGTGAAAATTGGTGCATCCATTGCCAGAAAAGGCTACTTGTATGGGAGGGTATTGTTGAGTATGGAGCAATGTTTGGTGTGAGGATGACCTTTTTTTAAAAAAAAGTTCCACGTTTTGAAATATCAATCAAATATCAAATTAAATATTCATCCTAAGAAACTAGTGAAATTTCAGATCTATCATTGAGGATCAAGGTATCTCCAACTGGATTGAGAATGATTTCTGAAAAACCAATTGGCAAACTGCTGCTAGTTCAGTATATAATTCTGTAGATAATGTCTGAGCTAAGGAAATAATATTAATTTGACTCTAGATAAGCATGTCCAGGTAGCCCTGTTCCAGTTCATTAAAGAGATTTCCTTCCTTCCTTCCTTCCTTCCTTCCCTCCCTCCCTCCCTCCCTCCCTCCCTCAGATGTCCATTGGAGGGCAATAAGAGGACTATGAGAACACTGTAGAATTCAGAGACTTGCTGGGTATGTACGTATTATATGTGAATGCCTCTCTCTCTCTTTACACACACACACAAACAAACACACACACACACATGTTGCCCACCGTATCTCTTGTAAACATGAAAAACATTTTGGTTTCACTTGTTCTTTGCAGATAAAGGAAGGAAAAAAGAAGAACATGGCACTGGCATCCTGGTTTGGATGGAATGAACCTTCCAGTCGTATTTCTCAAAGAAGCCCAATGGAAATGGTGACTGAAACCCTGATGATGGAGCTTGATTGGCAGATCAAAGAAGCTGAGAAACAACAGCGGGAGAAAGAAAACGAGTATCGCAAGCTCAAAACAGGAGTTGATTATGGTTGGCTGGTTAACTACCCCAAGCACAGCCATGATATCAGTCCAGGGGAGCGTCTGCAGCTGGAGGATATCTGTTCCAAACTACATCCATCCTATTGTGGACCAATTATTATTAGGTATTTGTTTGGAATCTGTCATGCACTGTATATAGGATGAGTGTGAAGTAGAAATAACTTAATCCCAAAGACTGCTCTGGCTGGAGATGATGGATTCTGAAATCCATCACATTTAGAGAACACCAGATGCAGGGAATTGGGTAGAATATCTAGCATTGAAACTTGATTGATTTTCCCCTGCAGCTGAACTGGACTAAAAAAAGCAGAGTAAACCATCGTTTTCTGTTTTTTACAACTGTTTATGAATAATTCAAAAATGATTCACGGCTTTCTAAATGACATGTCTAGAATCAATTACTGAATGTTCATTCTATTTGTATGTACGAAGAACTCAGTACTGAGAGTCTGTTTAGAAACTCTTGCTGGAAATAATTTGCAGAAATATATCACAAATGCAATCAGTTGCTTCAGGTGCATATTCTGTCTTTACAGGCAAAAGTTTGCGATTGTCTAATGGGTTTTATCCAGACATTTGATTATTATAATGTTTTGCTTGGCAGAATTTGGATAGGATAACTTGCTGCCTGCTACCAATTTAACCAAATAACATCACTGCATATAATTTATAATGCCAAGTGATTCTTTTTAAAGAGGACCTATAATTTATATAGATGGGGAAATTCAAATGATGGAAATAGTTGATGAGCTATTATTTCCTTCATTTATATTGACCACCAGGAAATAATGTGTTTAAGAAAGGGAGGGAGGGAGATGGGTGGTTTAGAATTATGAAATGGAAATAAGTAAGTAAGTAAGTATAACTATTGTACTGTAATAAGTAAAAACAGTAGAAGTCAAATACAGGTCAGTTTAAATAAAAACACAATAAAGAATATACAGTGTGTAAAAATACAGAAATACATAAATGTGCCCTTTGCTCCAAAAGAGATGGTGGTAGAAGTTGTGTCAATCCTGGCTGGGGGATTCTGGGAGTTGAAGTCCACAGGATTTAAAGTCGCCAAGGTTGAGAAACACTGAGTTAACACCTATATCTCTCTGCTCTGAGAATTTAAGTGAAGGTGGACTGTATATGCCATTCTAAGGCTAGAATCTTTTGCTCATTTATTTCTTAGATTTCGGCAACTTATTGTTGAGTATGAACCAGAGCCTGGAGAAATACCTCAGCTTTTCCGTTCCGTTCTGCACGATGCCACTGAGAAGATCAAAGAGGAAGAGGACGCCAAGAAACTTGCAAGGCAATGGAACACCAAGAACAAAACCAGCCTCTCCCTCACCACTTTCAGATCCCGCATCAGGATTTCCCCTTTCAGCAGTGATATCAAGACCATTTCAGAAGACGTAGAGAGGGGCATGGATCCGACTAAAAGAATGTGGAGCATGCCTGAATTTAGGGATACCAAGGACTACTGACTTTATTTGTAACAATAGTTTTTGTTTTTTTTTAGAAACAGACTATTTTATTTATTTGGGGGGGGGTCTATTTGCAGGATGATTATTTTTGTCCTGTTTCTAATTGTTTCTCTGTTGGGAAGAATTCACCTGAATTCTTTTTAGGTACCTTTTAATCCATGCCTGGATTATCCATGCCTATTATTATTTATGCCTGCAAGTTCCTGTTTTCCTTGGGCAAATACATTTTAAAAAAATCATTCCGACAGATTAGCCTCACTTTTACCAGTTTATTATGCTATGAACTTGCATGCAAAACTACACATATTTCAGCCTGGGTATGTGTTTATTTAAAACATTTATATAGGTGCTTATTTGTCACCTAAAAGGCCCAGGGAATAATGGTGAAAAGCATGCTTATTTATTTTAGTTTTCTTTTGGGTTTTCCTCTCAATCCTTTTGCCCATGATCACAGAAAAATTGGCATACACTGCACAACACCCAACCACCAACCCTACCCAGCCATATGCAAGGCTCCATGCATAAAAAGGCAGAAATATCTCATTTAGAATTTCCCAGCATTAAATTTTAAACAAAAGTAAGTATTATAAGATAGCAGTAGTTCACCCTTTTTTTTCTTTTTGCCAAAATGTTATCAGGCATTGCTGTCAATATCATCAGCTGGAGGAATGCCAATAACTCCTAAATAGAAAGGTGAGCCTTGCCGGGTACTTTGGCTACAAAATTTGAGGGAAGGGAGACATACACCTTGAAAATTTTTAGCACCTGGAAATTCTTCCTTTTTGGTAATTAGTTGCTATATAGCCTTAACTATATACAATATATCTTGGCTAATCAGTGACTACCATGGACAGGCTATGTTAGCTCTATCTTGAAAAAAAAACAGGGACCTCCATGTAGATATTTTAAGGCAAAACGTTTCTTTAAAACCGAAAAACTGAAAAAAGCAATGGGCTCCTATGCTTAGGGGAAAAAGGAATGCTTTGAAACACCATTTTCAAGGTGTATCACCAAGGCAGTGTTTCCATTTTCCCTCCCCTGGGTTGATAATTTCTATAATAGATACAACAAAATGTATTTTCCTTATTTTTATTTTTATTGCACACATTTCTACACTACTGGTTCAGGAAGAAACATATTTGTCTCTTGGATGTATACATTTTTTAAAAATGAAATACAGTGCTGCCATGACCACGATAGAATGTATCTCTAAACGTGAGTCAGACATTTTACTGGGCTTATTTTTTATTTATTTTTTTAGAATACCTGATTTTAGTTTTCATGTTATTATGACAAGTTTACATATAGGTGTTCCAATTAATCTTCAAATAGTTAGAATAAATCTGATGTAATTCAACAGACCTAGTTTGAGAAACAAATATTTATAAAAAATAATTTTATTTTTACAATGAAGTGGCTAAAACTCGCTGAATTAAGAAAAAAACCTCATACCTAGGAAACAATTGTGTTATTCTTTGTCTAAAGATTAATCAACAGATCTAACTTTTTTTAATTTTCTTGGTTTTCCTGGACATTTCAGTTCCTTTTGTCAACTTCTTTTTTGTTTTATAGATGGGGGAACTGAGGAAGTCAGTCATTGTAAAGGGGCCACCACGCCTCAGTTTTTTATTCAGGCTAGGCTCTGCATAGGAAACTTCCTTTTTTCTTCGTCGGTATAGACATATTGGAGAAGTTTCAAGAGGGATGGAATTTGTTAAATCGTTCAGGACTTTATTCCATTGATGGACAGGATAATTCTTATCCAGGATAGATAGTGAGTTGCTCCTGGAATTCTGTGGCACATTCCAAAGGTTGTCTCCAAAAATTGTGCTTGAATTCAATGCCAAAGTAGAGTCATCTACTCCATGTAATCCTGCATGACTATTTCCACTGCTTGCCAATACTTTGTCAGTGAAAGAAGAGAATGACTTCTTTACTTCATGGAAAGACATACTTCTCCAAGTCTCACCAAAAGCAGATTGCAAATGGAATTTCTCCAGACTGGTGGATGTCTTTCTGGCATTGCCACTTCCTTCATCATCCACATGAGACAATGGAATTCTCATAAATTTTGGTGCCACTCTAGGACAGTTGCTATCATCCTGACTGCAAGAAATATCATGAGTATCATTGTGCCCTCTTTCATCCTCTAACAATCTCGTCATCTTGATTGCAGTTTGAAAGCAGCTGTTCATAAAGAGCTGCAGTTCATCAGTATATTTTTTCTCAGAAGAGAGCTTTTGGCGTAAGCAAGCATTTTCAAAGTGACCCAACTCTACTTCTTTCTGCAGTCTCATCTTGTCATCAGTAAGATTCTTGGCTGTTATCTTGGCAGCATTGAGGGCCATAGCCAATGCCTTGTTGTTCTGTCTCAGGGAGACCTTAATTATAGAGGAATTATTAATTGTTCTTGTTCTAATCTTTGATGCAAGGGAAGCATTCATCTTTGCTGCTTTTAATATTCCATTTTTTTTTTGCTTTCATCTCTTCCCTTACTCCATTCTTAAAGAACATTGAGGATGTTTCTGTGCATTCCTGGAACGACACTTCCTGTTCTGCCGGCTCCCCTTTCTTACTGGGCTTATTTTTGTGGTAACATTTAACAGCCATAAACTCACTTTAAGAATGGTCACTTGAGTTCTTGACATGGCTTCTAACTTGCATACTCTCTTCACACCAGAGGCACAACTCAAACTGCCAAGGTGAAGTCCTTCTCAGTGTTTTACAGCCCTAGAGAGAGACTGTGTAACATTGTTGTTGAAGATAGGAGGACTGACTTATTTATGCCATAGTCTTTTGTGCAAATTGTACACTGTGGTATTTCAGTCATCTGTCTAAAGAAAAAACTTTTCTGTTTCTGCTAGATATCTTGTTGATACAGGAAAGGTGGTGGTTTTTGATTAGAGCTTCAGACCAATTCTGAAAATTAATGGAGCACTTGAGAGGGTTTTGTGCTGCTTGCAGAACTCAATTTCCCAAAAGACTGTTGGGGTTCTTTTATATTATGGTGGCTTCAGCTTTATTTTAGAATGATTTTGCTAATGTTGGATTTCCTGAAAGTAAGCAGAGTATGCACTGAAGAATTTTCTCTATTCCTGCTTATCTTCTTTCTCAAATATATTTGACAAAGACACCAGCAAATAGCATTGTTTAATGCCAAATGGATTTAGGGCTTCAGTTATGTGCGAGTGGGAGTACAGAGATACTGACAATTTGACAATCATACATTTCTAAGCCATCTAAGAAAACTATTTTCATTGTGGCATTTCTATACTGTTTCTCCAGTGTTGAAATATTGGCACATATTTAACCCTAACTCTAAAGTAGTCTGGTCAAATTGCATGAACTCCAAATAGACTGAAATGACAACTCCTAAACCTCAACACGATTTAGTACTGATGGGGGTACTATATCAGTCAAGGCTGATTTAAAGGTCAAGAGCAGAAACCTGTGAGATGGTCTCCCCTCTTTCTGCTCAGGCAGCCTGAGAATGTGAAGAAATTGCTGGTCTGAATCCTCTCTATCTATATTGGACACGTGGTTTTTATGGCACATTTTGAACATGGTAAATATTAACATCTCTTGTACAATGGGCTCCTTTTTTGTGGTGTTTTGGGTGCCTGGTCCTTTTTGCATTAGAACCCGATTTGTGGGGGAAACTACAAAAACAGCCATTTCCTATCAAGTCATACAATCACTTTTGTATCTAGGAGTGAAATGCTTCAATTACGAAAGTGCTTTTCTTAACTTTAACTGCCTTGTGATTGATTGTGATAGATACAGATCTGCTGTGTTCTATTTATTAACAGTTCCAGTGTTACTTTAGTATCCAATATACAGTATGTACACACACACACACACACACACACATTGAGATAAAAAAAAATCCTGAAGTCTCCAAAACTGAACATTTCACTCCTAGAATAATTATGGAAGCCATTGAAATAGAAAAATACCCCCACAACATGAATAAACGTGATAATACCTCCCGCCTACCAGACATCTGGAAACCAGCTCTAGTCAACAAATGAGCCCCACCCACCATCCAGGTTGTTATAACACAAAATAACAACTGACACACAGTCAGCACCTCAGCCACACAGGATGATATGAAACAGCCGACCAATCTACAAACACCAACTCCATCTACCAATCAGGATGCAACTACACAGCCAATCAACCCACTTACAGCAACAAAGCCAGCACTCCACACCCACCCACCAAGATTTATTGCTATTGCTATTATAGAAAGACGACAGCTCCGACCATGCCTTACTCGCACAAGCACGAAGCCGAAAACACCAGCCTGAAGATGGTGAGTGAGACCT